GTGCTTTAAGACATAGGAGGTACAATGTTTTCTTGCTTAGGATTTTGGGAAAGGCTTTGTGGAGAATGGATTTGGACTGTCCTTAGGAGATGGGCAAAATTTAAAGAAAAAATGAATAAAGAAAGGGTATTCTGGAGGAGGGAAGGACATTAGAAAAGGCATATCTGATTTATCATCTATCTATCTATCTAATCTATTTTGACTGTGCTTCTAGGAAATGTGATTAAGGACACTATTTGGGGATAAACCACATCCTCCCAAAACATGAGTTCAAGTCTTAACTATCAGTGCCAATGAACTTGACCTTATTTGGAAATAGGGTCTTTGCAGATGTAATCAAGTTAAAATGAAGCTACTGGATTAGAATGGGCCCTAACCCAATGATTTGTATCCCTTTTAAGAGAAGACAGGCACACAAAGAGAGGGCTACCATATTATGATGGTTGCAGAATGCGTATCTGTTTTAGATAAAACAAGATGTGCATAAAGGTAGAGAAAGACAGGGCTGTAAAGGCAAAATGGAGCCAGATCATAATAGACCTTATTTGAGCACTTGAATTGAATTCTGCAGTCAACAGGGGAAGAGACTCAAAATGGGGATAATGGTAAGGAGGGTATCACAGGCAAGAGTTTACTGGGCTGAACCAGAATCGTGGTAGTGAGGAGAGAAAAGGGAAGAATTTAAGAGACATTCTACAGGTGGAATCAAAAGAATTTTTTATAGTTGGGGAGAGAGCAGGTAGAATTGGGAAGCATGGATAACTTTAAGGCTTTTATCCCAGTGAAGTCAGAATAACGAAGAGGAAGAAGGGAAGTTACTACTGCTGTTGTAATTCTTCCCCAGAAGGCAGGAAGTGAGGAGTGGAGAAGCGTAGTATTCAAAAAGATAAATTTGATTTTGGAAAAAACTCAGATTCTATCATTATCTTTCACATCTGTCCTTTCCTTTCCTCTATGTTCCATCCCTCTAGTGTTCAATCCCTTTATGTAAAACTGGGTTTAAATAACTTGCAGGTATTCAATGTACCTTGAAATTCCTTACAAATTAAGATTACAAATTAACATAGTTGGGCACTTGAACTAACTGTATATGTACCAAACTTCTGTGAACATGGTGGGCAACAGGAACCATTAGAGGAAAAGAAAGATAGTAGTAAATTCTAGGTGTTGTAGAAATCTTCCCTTGGAAAATTTTGATGCTACCTCTATTTATTTTGTTTTGTATTATTTTGCATAGTGAATACTACTTACTCATTACAAAGTCTGTAGCATCCTAGTTTGAAGAACACAGATCACGACCATTGTGGAGTACAATGAAATGATCTCTTCCCCTGAACTTGACACTATTTTCATTCTTATATTGCATTTAGCTTAGCTTTTTTTTTTTTTAGTAGATGCCATATTACAGATTTCTAATGATCTTCGTAATTGCTAAAATCCTAGAAGAATCTCCTAACAAAGTTTTTAAAGAAAAATAAGATACTGGTTAAGTAACAAGCAACATTTTTTTTCCTCTTCTTGTTCATGAATGCTTTTCCTAAAATTTATTTTATTTATTTATTTGAGAAAAGGGAAAGGGAGATTGAAATATCAATGATGAGAGTCACTGATCGGCTGCCTTCTGCACGCCCCCTACTGGGAACTGAGCCCCAAACCGAGGCGCATGCCCTGAGCGGGAATCGAACCGTGATCTCCTGGTTCATGGGTTGGCACTCAACCACTGAGCCACACCAGCTGGGCTGTTCATGTACTCTTAATTGGCAATTGTTTAAGGTTTTTATAAATACCTAAACTAAAAATTTATTGAGCCTTACTAGTGTTTTTTGTTGTTAATCCTCACCCAAGGATATTTTTTCCATTTATTTTTAGAGAGAATAGAAGGAGGGAAGGAAAAAGGGAGGGACAGAGAAAGAGAAACACCTATGTGAGAGAGACACATCAATTGGTTGCCTCTTGCACATGCCCAACCAGGACTAGGGATGGACCCTTTGGCACATGGGCCAACACTGGCCGGGGCTAGTGTTTTAAAGAGTATAATATATCAAAGTATATTAAGCAGTGGTTAACTGAACAGTTACTGAAACAAATTATATTTTGTTTACCAAATCCTAGTGAATAGTCTCAGTCCTAAATCAACAGAGATGTCATTACTCTCTGAATGTCATCTGATGGCCATTATAGGTCAAAATTTCATGTTTTATGAATTGCCATTCTAGTACACAGCCAAGACATGGAATGATTATCAACACAAAACTAAATCAGCTAACAATTTTAAAGCTGTCAAGAACCTCAGTTTGGTTAGTGCAGAGTTCCTCAACCTCAACCATACTGACATTTTGGGTAGAGGAATCCTTCGTTGTGTGTGTGTCTACCCCGAGCATTTCAGGATGTTTGCAGCATCTCTGGCCTATACAAAACAGATGCCTGTAGCACGTGCTTTCGCTATGCCCTACCTTGACTAGTGGTAAAAATAAAAAATGTCTCCAGACATTGCCAAATGTCCTCTCCGGTGGGGTTTGGGGGCAAAGGTACCCCTAGTTGGAAACCACTCAATTGGGCTAATCCAATTACCCCTCCCCACAGATGACAAAACTCAAAGAAAAAAAAGTTTGGGACTTTGAAAGCTTAAAAGAAAAGTTTGGTACTTACTCAGGGTCATACAGGTAGTGGAGAAAATAGCACTAGAACCTACTACTAATCAACTCCTATTCCAGTATTCTCATTATACCACCTAGAAGTGGTATAAAGGTTATTACTAGCATTGTGTGAACTGACATCATTAAGTCTTTAGTAATTTTGCACATATTCAGTTATCACAAAAAAAACCCCACCCCAAACAAAATAC